TATTTCAAAATCGCGCGCTCTATACGGACGGATATAAAAATAGAGAGAAAGGTGTGTTTTTATTTTTAGAAACCTCCCGGTTTGTGTGTGACAATGTCGCGATATGATTCGAGACAGAGAGAGAGAGAGAGAGAAGAGACTCCGAAAAAATCTCCCAACGATGTGTCAAATCGCAACCCGCGCGCGCGCGAGAGATCTATTCTCGGACGATCGTTTTCTCGCGGTATATATATATATATATATATATATATTTCTTTCTTCGGAATGAGAAATACAAAGCCTTCTCTGCGAGTCTACGTATATGTATATACGCCAACTCGAGCACGCGTCGCGTAAATAAGCTCTCTGACTAAAACTTTAACGCACACCCGAAGACACTCCCGGAGCCAAGTCCGAGGAATTCTGTGTCTTTACGATCCATTCATAACCGGGATCGAAAATAAACGTCGCAAACATCGCGGCCGCGAGTATTAATCGCTTGGTCAACGGCATAATGTGCATATATATATATAACGTTTGGCACGTATCATCGTCTTAGCGAGAGAGCCCGACAGCTAGTCACGACGACGACGACGACGCACGAGTGAATCAGAAAAGTCAGCGGCGCTAAATTACCGGGTTTTTCCGTGTACCTGTCTCGCCGCTGGCCGTCCCACAAGTTTATCGATGAAAATTCCAAACCGGTACGATCGCACACGGTAGGCACCATGCAAATTCGCGACGACACAAAGCGGGAATCACGTGTACGACTATGAGGCGCACGCACATCGGCAGCAACACTAAACCGCAACGACAACGCGCTTGTACAGACCGTATACACAATACAGATTGCAAAAGTGTTATGGCCGCGCTCTCGACGTTCATGAATGAAACCAAGCGCGCTACTAACTTCGCGCCGTACTTTCGACCTGCGTACCGGACGGGTTGCGAACGGTCCCTACGTTTCTCTCGCCCGAGACGTCACGTGACGCCGAGCGCGATGTGTCGGGCGATTAACTTCGTACGCGGCGCGACAGATGGCCGCAGTTTCCACGCATTCCGATAAAAACTTCCGAAGCGATCTTGTTGTTTGCTTCGTAGCCGATCGAAATGAATGCGCAACCTCTCGCTTATTGTCAGATAAATGATTTTAACCAAATATTTATGTACGTAAAAAGTTGGAAGTAATTCAAAACATCTCAATATCCAAAACATTGAGAATTGTTATGATAAATATTTATATCTAATAAATATATCTATATAATAATTATTGTTTCTTTGATGACAGGTTATTTCGGGACATTTATCTGAAAAATTTTATCGTCTTTAATTGATTGGCTCTTATTAAACTCACACATATGTAAACTTAATGACGTGAGATTAATGATCGGAGCCTACTTTTGGTTATAAAAAATTTATAAAACATCGACACATCGGAGATAACCGCATTCTTTTGTCTATAGTCAACAAAACAAATCTCTATATTATATCAAATAACAAATTACCAAAGGCGCGCGATATTGCAAAATAACATTTAAATAATAAAGATATAAAAAATTCTGATGCGTCAGAGATATAAGTGGAGAAACAAATTCCAAACAAAATTGTTACTTACGCAATGTAAATGTCATCATCTCATTTATCACTTCCCTCCTGTGAGGTAAGTTATCACAGCTCTTGATGAAATTACACAGGTCCTGTAAACATCCGCTAGATTTTTGTATTGTTTGTAATCATCGCGATCGAAGAGCCGAAATCTACGAGATAGACTCTTGTAGATCCTCGGATCGATCGTACGTACGCGCAAACATCTATACGCCATGTAACACGTGCAATTCTTCCGCCATTTTCTCAGTACACGCGCGGCACAAGCGTTAGTCCGATTGATGCGCGCAGAGAATTGCACGTGCTGCATCGAAAAGTGTTGCATAAAGAAATCTATATAACAAAATACATAACAAAATAATGCTAAGAATTGTTACCGAAATTCCGAAGTGACGCAACAATGTGCGGACACACACGCAATACTTCACGAAAAATTCGCGAAGTTTGCGAAGCTTTGGGGACGATATAAATCAATTACATCAAATCCATATTTCAAGTCCGCGTGTCCGAACGTCGATCGTTTTTTTATCTCATTTCGACTGTGACATTGTTGTCGTTGCTTCGGAACTCGATACAAATTACTCACAATCGTCAATGTCCTATTATCCAAATATTCGAGGATTTCATCACGATTAGCAGCCATTGCTTACTTCTTAAAGATTTTTTTGTGCGAGTGACCACTTAGCACGGATCTGACCAAAGAATGAACGAACCAGAGACTCAATGGCAACTCGAAATTTCTGTCACGTGGTATCGTGTCGCAGAGGTAGGGAGCGGGATAATGCGTCGTGAAGCTGTTTTCGGCTTTGCGCACGCAAAATTTCTATTCGAGAGTTTATGCAGCAAAAAAATTTCAATTCCGTAAAAACAGCTTTAGCGTCTCGCGACTATCGATTACGCACCGACGTGCTCATCTTGCATACGATATATATCGCATTTATTTCTCAATGTTATTTTATTTATGTACAATAAATATATAGCTGTGTTTATCAGTAAATCAACAGTTTATATTTATATTATATATATATATATACGAATTTGCTTATAAGAATTATAACTTATATAATATAGAATTTTATTTATTTTATTATATCGTAGATAACTTGCACGAGTCACATGTTGCGTGTTAATTGTTTAATAAACAATTCGTCAATTTATAACCAACTGAAATTCTTTGCGTTCGATATTCCAGTCGTTGAATACACATACGGTTCTCTTACATATGTACTACCGTTATTTACACTGCGGTGTCCTTGCGAAGTGTTTCTCGTTGCGCGTTTTAGGAAGTTTTAGACTAAAATTTTCTTGCACGCGCAAAAGAGGGATCGTTTGATAGATAATCCTTCTAAAACGGTGCCGCGGGGTCGCGCGTTGCAAATGTTTCGAGGCGCTCCATCGTTTTTATCTCATCCTCGTTTAAATTTAAACGAGGAACAAAGATAGAACGGCGTGCTTCGAATTAGCGCCGACCCTCCCCAAAAGAAATCAATTATCAATGAACGTGACATGTAAGATATTCTTCGAAGGAGAAACGGTATTCGATTTCGCAACGAAGCTGTAACGCGGTGTATTATCGCTCATGTACGATAAAGATGCGCCGGTTTAGAATAATACATCTCTCTCTCTCTCTCTCTCTTAACGCGAAGAGGTTGTAAATCTACCGTTTAAATCATCAATGTGGATGTTACACAGTATACATATATATCTGAGACACATCGAGTAATACGCCTAATATCGAACGCGCGCGTACGAGAAAATATAACGTACGGACACAAGTGTGCGGTAAATATCAAATTACATACATGATAAGTCTATCTCTTCTATTGAAAGTGGACTTAAGTTAGGTAATCGCTATTTAATATGCGGCCACAATGTTTTAGCGTTGAAACAAATCCTCTTACACTCGCTCTCACACATTCTTTCTCTCTTCTTTTTTTTTCTCTGTCTTTCTATATTATTTATCTATCTATCGCTATCTCGATATTACTTAACGTACGTTTTTTTTTTTTTTTTTTCGAATTAATTCACACACTTATCGCAACATACAAATTCCTTTTGTTTCTTCGACTTCTACGTTGTATTTTTAATCACAATACGCAAGTTAGTTGATCAGACCGGATATACGCGCTATTCACTCACGTATATGCCGTATAAATGGTTTTCGCGAACGGAATGAGAAATTGCAAGTTTGCGTTTATGTGTGTATGTACTTATCTCTCGTTCTCTCGTGTGTAAATCGCAGAACGAATTAACGCGCGCACATCTTTTTTAACGGCGCACGTTATGATATATATTTGTATTAACTCACAGAGAGAATATCTGCAGAAAACTGAGTAAGACGTAAGAGAATAAGATTTTTGAGAAAAATTTTCGAAGAGAGAAATTTTCGCTTGTCTTAATTCGAACGACGTCAAGAAAAATGAAAAATAAATTTGTAAACGCGCGCAAAAGTGCAAATTAAATTTTAAACAAAAAAACCAGATCCTTTTAGGGACAATGTGTATTTATTTCAAGAGAAGCTCTGTATAATATTTATATATGTATATATACACACACGTACATACTCATGTATACATGTATACATACATTATATACATTAAAGAGGTAAAGTCAAAATTAAACGGCGTGAAACTAAAACGAAGAGGATATATGAGATATAAATACGTAAATCTACAAAGCTTTCTTTTTGTTTTGCATCGATAATAATAATAATAATTTTTATACGCTAACAAAATCATCTTTACAACATGCACGCACACTCCTTTTATACTCTAAAAACAATTTTAACCTGATAGAGACTTATGCAGTAAGTTGTGTAACGCGTTTGATATATACACATGAAATATATATATATATATATAATTATACGTCGTTGTCGAGAAATTATATACGATATACTATAACTGTTATAATTGTACGATAATACGAAAAATAAAAATGTAAATTCTTTGCGTTTGGTTTTCAAGAGGGTTTGTCGAACAAAAACGCGCGCTTCTCTCGCATTTCTTCGCGTTTATCTCCTCTTCCTCCTCTTTTCCGCCAAACACAGAGAAGGAGACTTACTGTCTCTGTGAGAAGAACATAATTCTTTGGAATATGTCGTGAAACCGAGTCTTGCTTTTTTTATTTTTTTTTTTATTTTTTTAAATTAAAGACGGCACTGTTACAGAATATTCTTGAATAACTTTATTTGTCGGCATAAAACATGTATACATACTTTTTTCTTTTTTCTTTACATAAACCTATCGTAGCTAGTGGAGTGAAAATGGCATAAGTTTTTTTTTTTTTTCAGGTGCCAAGTGATTCTAAGTGATCCAGAGTGATATTGATTATAAATCTCATAACATCATATATATGTATATGCGCGTATATATGTACATATGTGTGTATATACGGCATACAACACACATATATAACATACAATACATATAATGTGTATATATATATATCAATATATAATGTATATATATTAATATATAATGTACTTGAGGATATTGTGTGTTACCGTTTATTTTTATCAATCAAATAACGCTTTTAAAACAAAATTCTCACGTTGATACGTATGATACGTTTTTTTTTTATTATCAATCATGTACCGTAATATTGTAAATAGAAGAACAAACAATGAAAATTAATTATTTCAATAAAAAGCACATTTGTGATAACATACAAATCGCATAAAAAGATAAGAAATCACGTAGATCGCATTTCGTGTAATTTATGACTCTCAATGTTTTCGCGCTCGACGTTTCACAGTTTTCACAGCTCGTATTTTCAAAGAAGAAATTGTGTGCACGTTCGATCACGGAAAATTGATAGAAAATCAAGATTTAATTTCTAAAAAAAAAATATCTAAAATAAAAATTCAATATCTAAAAAAAAAAATAAAACGAAGAGAAACCAAATCCGTTGATTGTAATTTCACAAACTTTTTTTAAATATACAGAAAAACACATGAACACTCTCTTACATATACGACTAACAAAAGAAAAACAGCCGAGACACAATAACGTCCAAAACAATTTTTCTCTTGTATCCGCATCTGACATTATTGTCAATTTGATAACTTGCGACTTCATTTCGTTTACTACTCGTATGATAGTACTAGCAATAGATGGTAATGTAACATAAGAAATAACGTACCGATCCGGAGAGCTCAAATGTTCTCTGATTTTCCTTGTCGACTCAGTTCGATAGCGAGAGCTAACTCGGCATCCTCCTTTTCTTGACGCTTAAGTCTCTCCTCTTCCGCTCTTATGCTCTGTTTCGCCGCCCAAGCTAGTTGCTCCTCCTCCGATAAATTAGTGACATTATTGCCGTTCCACATTTTGTCAAAATCGCTCGGAAGCTTCTGGTCTTTATATGTATTATTAGTTTTTATATGAGCTACGTCTGACACGTGCTTTGCGAAGGTTTTTGTGTTCTTAGTCGAAAACGCTTCATCGAGATCAATAGGTTTTGTCTTAATGTTCGCAAACGTGTGGGAAAAATTAGCTTCGACGTCTTTGATGTTCTTGTTGTCGACGGAAAACGCTTTCCCAAAATCGGCATTGAACTTATTCACGTTGCTTCCCTCGATCTTCGTCTTGTCGAGCGAGTAAGTGAAATTGTTGTCGAAAGCTTTAGTTGTCGAAACATTTTTACCCGAGAAAGTTGTTTCGAACCCGAAGGGATCCGTTTTGTCCGTTCCGCTGCTTTTGTTCGCGTTCACATCTTCCGTTTGATCGGCGAACGGATCCGATATATTGAAGGGATCCTCGTAACGGTAGTCCCGGAAAGGATCCTCCGTGAAATCTGACAGCTTCGGTTGCGCCAATAGAGGTACGTAGGTTCTAGTCGTCGGTCTCGGTGGAGTCGTTCGATTAAGCGTTGCATCCGGCTAAAGCAGTTTTTTTTTGTCTCTGGTCAGTTTTGTGTTTTTTTACTGAAAATGCACAAGAGAGAATAACGCGACTACTGACGACTGTCATCTGGCTGCTGGCTGGTGATTATTAAAAACTCGCTATTCTTAATGTCATCAAATGCGAACAAATATATAGAGTGCTATAACTTTTAAAATAAAAAACTCAACTGTAATTATGTACATCAATCATGCGATAAAAATAATAAGTTTAACAAAATTGGATAAATACTCTAGAACAAAACAACAAAGTAATCTGCAGACAGCATGCTTCAGAAGGCAGCTCAGTGGTGGATAAAACTCAACAATTGTGCAGCTTCTTTCCTAAATACGAAACGGATTTGCAGTTAATTAATTAAATATTGCGAGAAACTTTACGCACAAAGTGTAAAGTTTTATTGATTGTGCGTGCGTGTGTGTGTGTTTGTGTACATATATATGTGTAAAAAAAGTCTGGCATATAAAGCTTTACAAAATATAAACTACTCTATAATTATATAATTCTAAAAAATAATTATTAAAAAAAACTAAATGTAAATTAATCTTTATACGAGGATAAATGATATCGAATACCAACCTTGGAATCAAAATTGGCGAAATCGGCAAATCCGGTGGAAGAGGTGAAACTATTATTATTATCCATCGTTGTTTGCTGAGCACTAAATGGATCCGAGTTTGCGTTTGTAAACGGATCAGGAGTAGGTGAAGGCGTTGGGGGAGCCGGCGCCGCTCTTAACGGGCCGGTGGGACCTTGACTAGGTCGTGGCGGAGCTGGTCGCGGTGGCGGTTGCTTTGCCTTTTTCGGTGGAAGAGCAGGACTCGGGCTCTCGGGGCGCGGAGGAGCGTGAAGATTCGCGAAGGGATCGTCCCCGAATGGATCCTTCGAGTTCTTAAGAAAATGAAAAAAAATACTTAAGTAACAGGAAACTTTCCCCAAGTTTCACTTTATTAAATTTATAAATATAAAAATTTACGTACCGTAGTTGTAGATAATTTCGTATCGTTTCGTTTCCCATTTCCGAACGGATCGAAAGGATCTTGCTTCGTTGTTACATTAGGACGATCGAACGCAGTGAAAGGATCCGCCTCGAAACCAGTCTACAGTTTTTTTGTTCATTTCCATTAATGATCATATTTGTAAACAATAAATACGCGGTTAATGTTAATTGAGTGAAAACTTACATTAGACGGTTGCGCAGAAAATGCGCTTTCAAATGGATCAGCTGCAGATGCGCTGAACGCTTCTTTGGCTTTATTTGTTGCAAAAGGATCTTGTTCTCCAAATCCATCTTTTTCGAATGCATCAGTTGCATTCGAAAAAGCATCTGTCTTTGCTTCCTCCTTGTTTTCATCCGCATTCTTCGTTTCGTATCTGTTTTTGCACGTATATGTGTTAAAATCTCGCTATCACCGTTAAAATCACACAAAGAGAAGTTTGACTGAAACACAATACGTACTCGTCTTCAAACTCGGGTACGAACTGTAGACTAGTATCAGGTACAAGATTGACGTCCCCTGCAGCGAGAGCGGAATCGTAAAGCGCAATAGCGTCGCTCATTTGACGTTGCTGTTCCTGCAAATGAGTGATTTTCGCCTTCGCTTGACAAATCTCTAGCTGAGTGTCCTGCAATTTTTTCGTCAGTTCATTTAGTTGGTCCCTGTTTTTGTTCTGCTGCTGTTCCAATTGCTGCTCTTCTTGTCGCAATCCCTCGAGTTCTTGTCGTTTGAGATTGAGTTCCTCTTCTTGGGTTCGCAATACCGATTCTTGCTCCTCGGCTTGTTGACGGAGTTTATCGACCTTGGGAATATAAGATTAACATGTGAAAATTGTACACTCGCTTTCCCTGCTACAAATTCGAAACAGTACAAGAGTAATAAGAGTCTTTTGTTGTTTATTAGTATGTATTTTTATGCAGCAATTGTACAAGACAGTGTCGAAAAGAACAAAAGTATATTTGAAATTATTATTGAAACATTTAATTAACTATTTACTTATTTTATATGTCACAAAGAAGAGAATACAACAATTTTGGTATGTCGGCAAAGCATACAAGAATATATACATACACATGTTTGTTTATTACAAAAAAAAGAAGAAGAATAATACATATACTCGAAATTTATTTTCTATATTCACGATAGACCACACTAACGATTCAAACCTAAGCAATACTGTGATCTTTGGTATACCTTCTTCAGTTCCTCCTGAATCTTCTCTTCGACTTCACTCAAATTCCTATCTACTTCAGCCTTCTACAAAGCCAAACATAATAAAATAAAATACAAAATAACAAAAATACAATACAAAATAAAAGATCAATCAGGATAATTCCTCTTGTTTCCTAATTTCGTCTTATTTTTGTGTATTTCCGCCTATATCTGCACAAATTAAATATAACATAAATAAATGTAAGAAACAAAATAACAAAAACAAGAGATTGAACTGAAACACGCGTGTGACAAATATAACGCGCTCATTTATATCGCTCATATGTGTGTTTTATGTATTCACACACACATAGAATGTATCACGTATAGTTCTTATTACGGTTTTTATTATTGTGTCAAGACACATACCAAAGCCGCAAGCAAACAATTTTTCTCCTTATTTATTGTTTAACTACATTCATTAAACTATTGTTAACGTATTAAATCGATATTATCTTACAAAAATAACATATATGTAGCACTGCGTTTAATTGTGCCTAAAAAGCAACGCTCGCGTACATACAATAAGCAAGCTCAAAAAATTTCAACATCATGATAATTCTGTTTACCTGCGCTTTCAAGTCATTTAATCTCTTCTGCGCCTCACCCTTCTGATTTCCGAGTTGTTTTAAGGTTGCCGCGAGGGTGTCCAATTCACTTTGAAGGCTCTTAATCTCTCCGTTTTTTATTTTAATGTCAGCTTCCTTCTGCGCTATATCCTGCTCCATACTTTGTCTTTCGCGTACAAGCTCCGCTATGTCTTTACTGATCATATCTAATTCTGGATTTGAGTAACCTGATATGTTATTGTTCTCCTGTAATATAAATGTATTTTACATTTATTAACAATTGATCTTTGGTAAAATATCTTTTGTATGTGCGTGTGTGTGTGTGTACGTGAACGCGCGCGCATGCATATGTATTGATTAAAGATTTAAAGTCAGGTTACATATATATGCGACTTTGTTGCGCCTAATGTTTTATTTTAACACGCTGTTGCGAATAACTTCACTGTGCAAAGTTGAATGAGTTACGTTAATGATAATCATGAAAATTTATGTAATGCTTATCTTAGTTAGTTACTTAAACGACATATTATCCTTTGCTTTGCTGCGACCGAACGGTAATAATCTTAATCGCACTTGCGCTATTTTAAATAATGATTACAAACGATGTAAACCATGAAAAAAAAAAAGGTGACAAAATGTTTCTGAGCATTGACAAGTATGACTATCCGAGAGCTAATGAGACCTTAAGACAATTACACAAACAGCAGTGGCTGAATTATTACAAGTGCCTGGAGGAAACATACGCAACTATAGGTCGCAAGAGAATCAGCTATCTTACCGCGCTTACGGCGTTAGAAGGAACATCCGTAACGTTAGATCGTCAAAAAAATAACAACTTATTAAAAAGAGAAGCGATAAAGATCTTCTGTGGTTTCAGTAGTTAGTGAAACAAAAATAAAATACATTTACACAGAATAGTAAAATGATTTGCATTGATTTTTTTATTACGCCTCAAAGTCTCTATCGCTACTTGGATTATACACACAATTGAGATCAAATGAAAACAAATGGATTTTACAGTTTAAAATGTCAAATCTGCATTTCGCCCGTAGAAGTACACATGACTGATCTAATAGAGTGGTACTTCAATAGCAGTAAACACGGTGTTGTAGAGAATGTGACACAAGATGTGGATCAAATTCTCAATTCGACAAGCAATCAGTATATCGTCATGCATAATATCAAGGTACGAAGATATAAAACTGCCTTTGCAACACACGCGCGGAAAAAAATCGTTTTCTCTCAGTTACAGCAGGAGGGAATGTATTGGTGCGAAATGGGAGATACCGCGGGATCGGTTTATTATTTACATGTTGATAACAACGTCGAGGCGATAAATATTGTATTCCCGGATACGGCGCCCAATGCATCACACGCAACGTCGGCTGCAAATGTGCCGGAATACGAGCTGGAAGTTAGTTTTGTATAACGTTTTCAAAAAAATGTTCTTTATACGCGTGAAAATTAAAAAAAAATACAAAGGATATGTAAGTTTTTTTTTGTTGATTTTCATTTCTCTTCCCATTTTGAAGGTTTACACTTCGTGGACAACGTGGACCTCGTGTTCCACGTGTGACGCGGTCGGAATAAAAACGCGATACGGTTACTGCGTGATCTCTGGTGCGTTAAATAAAAACTGAAGTACGATACGCAAAAAAAGAATGTAAATAAACAATATTTCCTCAAGTATTTCTCTTTTGCTAAATCCAAATTCCAATGTTGAAAGGGAGAACTAAAAGCTGGAGCAAAACGGAAGAAGACGCAACTTCAACGGTAACAATAAACGAAACTCTGAAAAACTCGATTAAAACTCGATTAAAAACGGCGCTGTTGCTGTTCAAAAACACGTTACCGTGTAAATCGAAATTCGTTCCAAAACAAATACAAACAATACCGGCGATCAGAAACAGAACAACCGAAGTTATGAGACAGTATTGCAAGGTATTGTGCTTTATTAAAAGCGAACAATTATGTAAAAGAAAAGGCAAAATGCACACGACTGAAAAATCGAATAAATGAGATCAAAATTATTTTTTAACGGTAGAAAAAATGCCGAAAACAAGCGATATTCGAAGTACGCGACGAGAAGGGCAACGTTCTTGAAAGAGCGAACAACAGCGCCGGTATATATTCTTTGATTCAGGGAATACCTCAGCTGTTGCCGTCCGTCGAACGTAATATAATTTACGCGAAACGTAATAAAAAGATAAAACTCGTTTGTCCAGGGTAATGCGACATTTTTAAGATAAAAAATGTTTCAATAACGATACAACTAAAAACAAGAAAATAATTTGATTAATATTGTAGAAATTTAAAAGCAGACATTCCAGTTGTTTGGCACATTGGTAAAAAAGCGATAATTTCATCTCAAATTGAGCAACAATCAAACGGAAGAATTCGAATTACTCCTCAGATGCACATATTAGTGACATCTCTGAAATTTGAGGACGCAAATATTTATAGGTACGTAAAGAGAAGCAAATTTCAAAAAATATAAGTAAACAATAAAAATCTACTTTCAATTATTAGTTGCTGGCAAAATAATGAAGTCGCTGGAATAATCAAACTGAACGTATCTGAAGAAGTGGAATTAAAACTGAATCATCATGTTATCTTAATTAGCTTAATCTTCATATTAAGTGTGATACTGATAGTATTTTGGCGAGCATTTAAAAGACAAATGCGATTTACGATGTACTAGTCGCGGGTTTTGCACATAAAAACATACTGATGTAAATTAAGCAAAATAAAATTTTATGGCTTTATCGCGATTGTTACACGTAGGTGTAATAAATATTTTAAAAACATATATAATATACGTGTGAAACAAAAATACGGACGATATCAGAAAATTAACAAATAATCTGTTGTGATGTAAAAACAAAAGTGAATGTTTCTTTACCACAATAGTTTCTCCAGTTTTTCGTAGAGAAGGCGGTGTCATTTCGGGAGTCAATTCTGCTGGAGGATCTATACCGTTAAGTTTCTGCTTGATGAGCCACATTGCTATGGCAAATTGTTCCTTATTCAGCTTCCCAGTTTGACAAGTATCACACAGGCCCCTAAATCGTCAAACATCTCTCATTAACATCGCATAGGTTTTAACGCGTTTGCTACAAGTTTGTCTAACTGTTCTCACCATATGTGAGCTAATACGGTGTGCGGAAGTCCACTTTGTAGGAAGACATCTTTGATTTCTATACCCGAGACATATCCATCTCTGTCCAAGTCAGCTTGTAAAAACAATTTTTCCGCAGCTATTTGATCTTCAGCAGAAACTACCCACTGTACGTTCTTCTAAAAAAAAAAAAAAGATCATAATCACGTTTTACATTTTTTCTCCTTTTATGATACACAAATATAGAAATACATTGAGTTTTTCAATATTACTTTTGCATCGTCGAGTCCACTCAGACTCTTTACAGTCATTGTGTTTGGTAAGGGTGGAATTGGCGGTGGTTGTGGTGATGGCGATGCCGATATATTCCTTATAGGAGATTTAGGCTTATTAACGATATCTTTTCTCTTACCAGGTGGCATTAATTCTGGTGGAAGTACACTTGGTATTGCATATTTTTCTAACGCTTTATATACGAGATGCATGGCCTGTGCGACAACAATTAGGACTTGCAAGTTTACTCTTGCTAATGTACACATTGTTACACTGAACAAAAATATGTAACAATAATCGGTTAACACTTACAACTACAAATTCATGTCTATCCAGCATACCATCCTTGTCCATGTCAGCGAGATCCCAAATCTTTCCTAAAGTGTCTAAAGGAAGTTTGCTATCCATGAGAACACCTTTTACTTTGTTTCCAGATATGTATCCATTGGCTGGCTGTAGGCTATCGAACAGTTGATCATATTTCGCACGTTCCGTAGGAGTTATTGACCAATCTCCACTATTGATGGATTTAATAACAGGCAGAGCATTTGTGACAGTCTTTTGTGGAATAACTGGGATATCTCCCTAAAAAATATGAAAAGGCAAAAAAGTAAAAAAAAACCGAAATACACAAATGTATGTTTCTCCTCTAATTGTAAATACAAAGAGATTGTTTTACCATTTTTGGTGGTGGTAGTTCAAGACTCAAATTGGACATGTTTAAATCTTTTCCAGTTTGAGCTAAAGCACATAGCTTCAAAGCAACAAACAAACCAGATTTATCTAATGATCCACGCGATTGCGGATCTGCCATATCCCATATTTTACTTAGAATTACATCACTCAGCTGGGATTTCTTAAGAAATCTCGCAGCATCCATTGCCTCAATTCTTCCGTATCCATTTGGATCAACCTAACAACAAAAAACTCAGTTTTTTTGTGTAACCAGACTATACTTTATATTATGTGAATGTGTATGTGCGTGTGCATCTGTTTGTGGAATACTTGTTTCTTTTTTTTTTAAACCGTATACCTGATTGTAATAAGCTTCATATATTGCGGTATGGCTTCCAGCTACCTGCAAAACAATTATGCATTGTTTTTCATTCCCGTTTTGTGAGAACAAAGAAAAGTTTTAAAATAAAATAAAATAAAAAAAAAAAAGAACAGACTGTGCAAAAGGATCGATATTAAAATTACAATTTGAATAGACATAGAGAAAGAGAAGGACAAGAGCCACGACGCTACGCCCTAGTGAGTTTATTTGTCAATTGAAAAATGTTAGAAGATCAAGTTGTCTTCACACGTACAACGTTAACGTTACAACAACGGAAATTCTTATCCGAGTGATTAAACATTCATAGAAATAACCGATTGTCAGCTATCGAAAACGGATGCTTCAAATTAGAGAGACCGTTTGAGATTATCGACTGATGCGACGGTCTGAGAAAAATTCCAAGATCGAGCGGTCATTTCAACGATTTGACGCGAACCGCAACGAGACTTCGGGAAATTGTGACGTTTCTCATCGTCGCGCGAATCTTTTCCGTTGCGATGCGTCTTAGGAAAATGTCAAAATTGCAACATACCTGCGTAGGTGACGGCAGAGCGGCCATACTTGCATTAAACACTGGCTTAACCAATCAGAATCTCAATCGATAACATACATACGAGAATTTGACTATTTCATTTAACATCGTCGAAAACGTGTTTCAAGTGTTCCAACGAAGTGTCGGAATCATTTCTTTCGGGTTTTTCGTTCGACAAAATAAAATAATCGCGCGACAATTGCGAGGGTAAACAGAAATGTTATCTTTGTTGTTTTTCTCGCACAAAGCAGATTAAACGTCGAATGTATTTTACAATATATATACAAAACCGCTTGCGATATACTGCTATCTACTGTACTAAACGCTAACTGACGTTAACCGTAATACCAGAGAGAAGACTGAGAGCGGCCAGGGCCGTTTGAAAAACCGTAATAGCTTTTCCGCCCTTGTAAACCAGCGCTGTTGTTCGTGGGTGGTGCACATTGGCAACTACCACAGCCAATGTCCACCAAACGACTCGTCGGTGCGTGCTCTCTGTGTCCAAAACGTGAACGTGGTTTCTATTAATTTAAAGGTTGGAGATATTCGAGAGACTTGAGAGCTGAAATTTTTGAGATTGGAGACGAGATCTAAGATTTGAGAAGCGACTATGAATTCGGGGGCCTTAGAGGTGTTTTATTGATCAATTGGAAAGAGCGAGGAATTTTCCACGTCGTTATTGGTCAATCTTTTCAAAAAAAAAAAAAAAAAAAAAACGTGTAAACGCGCCTTTACTTGCTTGTTTTCGATTTTGCTCGACGGGTAGTTTTGGAACCCCCGTTATCCGAAGATCGGATGAATACACGTCTGCGTGCGAAACACATTTTTTTTTCGAAAAGATGATCAAAATTCATTTGAACGTGAATTTTTAACAGAAAATATATAGCAGAATACGTGCAACAAACGTACAAAACAGCAGGATCGTCTGCGTCGCTCAGTTTCTTTTGAGAAATTCTCTAAAATGTTCTTTTCCAGGACAAAAATTTTCGCGAGCTTTGCGCAAAATGCGGATTCGAATAAATTTTTCTAAATTCCAACTCTCTCGCATCTTTGATACGTTCTTTTTTTTTTTTTATCAGCGAGAGAATAACCCAATCATGTCTAGCACAAGCGTTAGCAGGAGCGATTACATAGTTTTGTATATTTTTTAATATATTTTTTTTACATATATATGTTTACTATTATTTTTTTATACAATTTAGCGATGCGTTTTCTTGACGCGTGTCGTTGTAGCGACTCGGTTTATCGTTTACATCACTGGGAGCTAAACAAATTGGTATACGATCGTATAGTAATAATTTGATACGTGCATACGCACATACATAATATATACGTGTATATATATATATATATATCACAAACGATCGGTATAAACTCTATAGCTCTATATGTATATGTGCATTAAATGTACGCGCATGTAATTTCGACGCGCGACTCCATTTTGAATCTTTGCCGTGAGTGAACGTTCTTCCGAGGAGGAGTTTCTCTCGTTGCGCCCATCGGGGGATCATCTTCAGAAAATGCTCTTCAAATATGTTGTTGGGAAGTTGCGCCCTTTTAACGCCATAGATATCGCCAAGTGTGGTGTACACAAATGCACGACGATTTCAGACACGACGTCGAAAGAGGTGATCGGGACGCATACGAGAGTGCAGGTTAGACGTGTGCCTCATTACGCGATCATTTTTTTTTTTTTTGTCATCGCAATATTTTCAACTCCCCGAAGCAATTCGATAACGCACGAAAGGCGTCTGAGAAAAGATCCGAGGGATTTATTGTATCCTCTCGGACATCTTTCGGACGTCCGTTTTTTTATAAATATTAACGTTTAAGCAACACAACGTGCTGTGTTCCCCCATGAACCTCTTGTTCCTCCCATGTTCCTCGGTTTGTCGAGACTCACCGCCCCTCTCCCTCCCCCCCACCGCTCACACAAGTGTATTTTGAAAAATTTTGTATTTATTTGTGATTGAAATAGGCACTGGACAACCCACACACTGTTAAAAAGTAGGCAACGTGAAAACGTTTATCTTTCATAAACTCGTTGATCTCTTATTTCTTAGAATTTGTCACAATTTGTTCGGAAGATACAAATGTTATTGTTGATCTCCATACTTAGGGATGGGTGCGCGCGCTCCGAAGGATGAAGGATAACATATTTGTTGACATTTCCGACGGATCGACCAGCGAAATGTTACAAGTTGTTATACCAAAGTCCCTTAAGACCGATCAGTTGACTTATGGAAGTAGCATCAGCGTGGACGGCGAGTTAACTGTGGCCGCTAACGGTAAGACCGAGCTGCGCGCGAGTAACATTCACGTAATTGGCACGTGCGATGTTCTAAAGGACGAGTATCCGTTCGCACCGCGAAAGAGATATCATCAGGATTACGTCAGGCAGTACTTGCACCTAAGACCGAGAACACGCAGCTTCTCAAGTTTGTTGAGACTGCGCGATCTCGCCACCTGGTCGATTGGCGAACACCTGAGAGACAGAGGTTTCATAAGCGTGCACACGCCAATCCTGACGTGTAACGATTGCGAGGGCGCGGGTGAGGTATTTTCTGTCAGACCGCACTCCAAAGAGATCATGAAAAGTATGAAACGCGAGGATCAGACTGAAGACGAGGTCTTTTTCAATACAACCACCTTTCTCACTGTTTCCGGACAGTTGCATCTGGAAGCGGTCGCAAGGTGATTAAATTCTTTGATTGTGTTATATCATCGTCAACGTGTATGTAAAATCACATCGCGTTTTTATATCATCGGAACGCGAATGTATTCCTAGAACTTTTTCAGAGCTCTCACAAGAGTGTATACATTTGGACCTACATTTAGAGCAGAAAATAATAAGTCAAGGTTACACTTGTCAGAATTTTACATGCTAGAAGCAGAGATAGCTTTCCTCACGGATATCGAACAATTGATGAACGAAATTGAGCTCTTGGTGAAACAAGTGACCAAGCAGATCTTTGAAAAGGGAGCTTCGGATGTACATTCGATCGGCACGTCCGAACCACAGTGGTTAAACAAACCATTCGCGTGTTTAACGTATGACGAGGCGTTCGACGTGCTGAATAATCATGCAAATCAGTTACAAAACCCCTCTAAGTATGGAGAAGCATTCTCGAAAGAACATGAATTATTTTTAGTACAGTACAATGACCGAGTGCCGATGTTTGTTATAAACTGGCCGAAAGACATGAAATCGTTTTACATGAAAGAGTGCACAGACGATTCATCCAAGGTGAGCCAGTATTTAAAAAAAAAAACAAAACAAAACAAAACAAACATATGAGATAAAAACGTATGAAATATAAAAAAGAAAAAAAATTAAATATGTATGTATGTGCATTTTCTCAAAAGGTAGCAGCGCTGGACCTTCTAGCGCCAGATGTGGGAGAGTTGGTGGGAGGCAGTATGCGCGAGGATGATTATGAAAAATTACAATCCAAACTACCTGTAACGGGAAATCTCTCGTGGTACTTAGAATTACGTAAATTTGGCAATGTACCAACAGGTGGTTTCGGAATGGGATTCGAGAGATTCCTGCAGTGCGTTTTAGGAATCGGCAACATCAAGGACACTTTGCCCTTTCCGAGATGGCCGCACAATTGCAACTTATGAATAAAGATTTCAGGACTGTTGTGTTATTTAATTTACTTCCCCATTACCAGGAGAAAAAAAAAATACGTCGCGCGTATATAACTTTGTAGGAAATAAAATTCTTTTTTCTCTAGGAAACCACTCTTGAGGATGCAAACTTCGAAGGAAATTAATTGGAAAGTTCGTCCGGGTTGCGATTTAACACACAAACACACCAGTTTTCTTATCTGAAATGCATAGTTTATTGATTATTGGATATTATACAACAACAAAGGATTTTAAACTTTCTTTATTAATGTCTTTATTGTTCGATCTGTTTATGCACTTCTCGATGCATAGACGTAGTATATCCTAAATAATGCTGATAAAGCCTATGATAAAGAGGATTATCGTAGAAAGGTCAAAAATGAGGGTCACACCTGTGGTAAACAAGGATTTTCTTTTCTCTTTTATATAAGACAAAAATAATGCTCGTCTAATAATCGCAGTCCTCCATATATGGTGTCATTGTCGTCATCTTGTTTGTTTGTGTGTTTTTTTTTCAGTGGATCTCTACGTACAAACGGACAATCTCGCATATCACAATTTGTACACTTCCAATCAGAAATTGTTTCCTCTCTCTCTTCATGTGCTTGCTCGATGCATTCACTCCGCAAACAGTTCGCTAGCACAATTTTTACACAATAGCGCTCAAAAAAAAAACGAAAAAAAAAAAAAAAAAAAAAAATTATTCGATGGGTTGAATCATCATGTGGAAGTACAAATGAACTACTTGTTTCTCACTCAGAGTCCAAACTCTTCTCTCGTCACAAAAGCGCAAAAAAGCTTGAAAAAGAAAAGAAATTTAAAAAAGAGGATACACGTGCAGGAATGCGGAGAGAGAGAGAGAGAGAGAGCGCGCTACATTATATCTTTTTCTCAAAATTATATAAAATATTTACAACTTCGTAACTTCACTTTGCACTATCAAAATACTAATACTTAAGGTACACTCACTCGCTCACATATTATGCATGTAATTTTTTTTTTTTTTTTTTTTTAGCTTGTACGACCTGACGATTATCCATCCGTTTTAAATATTCTTCGGAATTTTTTTTGTTTCCACGTAAATCGATATAAGACTCCTATGTTCTCGGTAGTTAAATCCGATTTAAATTTTGTCATGCGTGAAAAAAAGAGACGAGAGAGAGAGAGAGCCCGCGGCACACGACGCTCTCTCTTTCTCGCGATGACGGATCTCGCGCGCGAGAATCGAGCAAAATTTGTACAAAGTTGCGACAAATTGTCGTAAACGCGCGCGATCCATCACGCGAAAGAGAGCGTCGCGTGCCGCTCAACACCTCGCACAAAGAGATTAACAAAACACACAGATTAAACGTATTAAAAAAAAAAAAAAAAAAAAAACTCAAAGTATATTTCCCTCAAGGATACGCATCGTGTCGTATAAGCTGTACAAACTTATGTACAAGAAGAATAAACTTAAGATCTAGATGCGTGCTCCGAACGTTCAAATTTATAATAATTTTTTTTTTTTTTGTACACTCGCGCGCGTCACTCTCGAATACGCAACGATTATCGTTTTTTTTTTTTTTTTTTTTTTCCCGAATTATTTACACGAAACTATTTACATAATAGAGCAAAGTCCGGACAATTCTTGTCCCTTCTCCACGGGAGGTAAGTTCGACAATTTCCTACCCTGTAAACTCGGTTTAATGGACACTGCTACTAACGGCTGTTCCACGTTCTCCTCTACCGGAGGCGTTTCCACTTTTTCCTTCTCTTTAGTGTCCTCCGGCTCTTTGTTAGAACTCAGGGGCTTTGTGATGTTGATCTTAATTCGCGACGGTGCCGCGACGATGGGAGCCGGTGTCGATTCCAATTCCACGTTACCATCTATGGAACTTTTCACTGCAGTGTATGTCGTGTCGACTGTGATTTCCTCGGGATCTAATGGAAAAAGACAATTTCAGTAAAGTACGACAATCTCCTCGTGTAAAAATTGGGAGGCTGATTCGTAAGACTGGTTCGACGGTCTCGCAGCTAATGTAAGGACGAATGTGAGAATCTGAAGGTCAAATCCGCTTAACACGCTAGCATTTTTTTCAGGATCGATTGTTTTCGGTGAGACCGCATCGGGTTTCCAAAAATTAATGCGAGTGAAATACGCGTGAAATAAAATAAAATAAGGGCAAAAAATCGCGGTTGAAGACACGTAAATATGACGCATGAGAGAAGAAAAGGCTGATGCGAAATGACTTGACACAGACATACGTACTTGGTTCTATAGGTTCTTCTACAGGTTCCTCTTTGATATGAATGTTTTCACACAAAAACATTTCCGAATCTTGATTGGCGTCTTCGTCGATATCAAGCGGTTCCTCCTTAATCTTGATATTTTCGAACGGCATGATTGCTTCGCCCGGAGACTCTTCAACTTTCGCAGACGCGTTCTCATTCTCGCCACTTTCCGTAACTGTATCTTCCTCACTGTTCTCATTCTCCGTCCTCGTTTTCTCTTCCGCAACGTTTTGCGCGCTCTTGTCTTCGGAATTCTCGGTACTAGTCTTCTCTTTGTCATCTAACACGCCAGTTTCTGAGTGATCTGCTTGTTCCGCGTTCTCCGCGGAGAACTCGACTTCTGTGGTCGATATTTCTACGTCCGGTTCTTGTTTGGTTTCATCTCCGGGCGCTTCTGTGTTAGATTCGACTTTAGACGTTGTTTCTTCTTGTTTAGACTCGTCTTCGGGTGTTTCTTCCGTCTTACCCTCCTCACCTTCTAAAATAGTCTCCTCAAGCGCCAACGCTGACTTTTCTAACGCTCTCTAAAGTTTCAATAGTAAAAAGAAAAAGAAACAAAATTATTTGTCAATTCGATCATGATAAAACAACATATACAAAATGCAAATGTCATCGAACAGTTGGTGCGAGTGGGGGGGAAAATGTGAAGAAACGTTTGCTCGAAGGACGCTGTCCCTCTCTTTCATACACACATGTCGTGAACTAAAGTATTGGCAACTATATAAGTGCAAACTAGTGTTTCACGACAGAAAACTAGATATTGTTGATATAAAAAAAAGTACGATATGAACATGCATGAGAGAGAACGTACCACTAAACTTTTTTCCTATTTTTGTAAGAATGGAACAGACGAAAGTTTCGTTAATTAATAAATGTCGACGTATCAACCGACGAGATTCAAATACACATTGATTATCGATTAGAGCGGAAGGATCACGAACCTTGTAATCTTCCAAACAGAGCGGATGATAATTCTTTTCCTCGTAAAGAACCGCCGGTCTCAGATGCCATTCCTCCTTTTCCTCGTTGTAAAATTGCTCGAACGCATCGTGACACACTTGGCAGCGCGAATCTTCGTCACTGCCGGTCGGGACGCTAGGCTGCTGCGTCTCCTGAGGCAATTCGTCAGCAGCCACACCTTCCGTTTCCGCCGTTTGCTTTTCCGTTTCGAACCAACTTTGCGCTCTGTCTTCCAAATCTTCGATCTCCTCGAACTGTATCCAATCGCTGACGTCATAATACCACGGTCGAGAATGAGCCTTTCTCGCGGAATCTCGCTCGCGTCTGTTCTGCCTGAAGTGCCAATCTAAGTGATGGCTGTACCGAGTAGCCAGTTCGGGCGCGAATCTGGCACCGCAAGAACTGCATTGCATACCGCTGTACAACGCCGCGGAGATAGCCGGCTGTTTGCTGTAAAAATTCGATATTCGCAAGTTTGGTCTTTGTAGCAGATTCTTTTTTTTTTTTTTTTTTTTTTTTTTTTCAACACAATGTTGTGGAGAAAACAAACGACTTACATTTTAAGGGTTTCTGGCTTGTCGAAAGAGACCGGGGTGATCTCGGGCTTTTTCTTCTCTTCTTCTTCCTGTTTCTTTTGTTCCGTAATATTAGGAACAATACCAGTTTCGACTAGCCTTTGGAACAGCTCGTTCATATTCAGTGTCGTTACTGACGCAGACGGATTTTCTACAGGTTCGGCTTGATACGACAAACCGGATGAAGGCGCCATAGCCGATGGCAAAACAGAAGACAATATGTCCAATTGCAAGTCTGTAAATTGATTTGTAACATCGCAAGTGATTATTAAATAAAGAAAAAAACACACAATTGAAATAGTAATACAAGAAACACAAGTCGATTTTTACCTGGCTTCGACGCAGAAGGGAATTCCGAGCCATCTTGCGACGTGGATTCTTGTTCCAAAGCTGGCAATTGGCTTGGCACCGGCGCAGCTTCCACTTTCGGTTTTTGAGATAGCAGAGACGTCGATGGCGGTGGTGACTCGATGGGTCCTTCGCCTTTCATTCCGCTAATTTTAACGTGACCAGCGCGCACACCTCTCGGTAAGACCGAGAACCTAATGAAATGCTTCTTCTCTCTGACAATAATGGGCTTTGGTAATCCGCCGAATTCAACTTTGAACGGTCGTCCGTTGAGAAGAACCGTTTGCAGGGCATCCGTGAACTCCAACGTGTGAGGTTTTCCTTCAATTTCGAAACTGTAAAAAAGAAAAGATTCGCGTTAAAATTGTATCTCACTTTTGTTGTGCGAGAGAAATGTTGCATGCCTGCGGAAGGGAAACTCACACTTGCGGCTTTGCGTCCAAAAATACGGGCACCATATTTCGAGCGTTGATAATGAGATTGATTTTCGCGACGACGAGATCCGTTCTCTTCACAGTGCCGATCTTGACTTGCGGCGGCGGACCCTCCAGTTTTACACTGATCTTCTTCCCGCCGAGTTCGATTGTTATTGGCATACCGCCGAAGTAACACTCGTACCAGCAGTCGTCGACGTATAATTCTCGAGTGGGCGCACCGAGTTTGATCCTGAAAAGAGAGAATTATCGACGTTATTATCTGCGGTGTAGAGTTTTCGAGAGTTCAAGCGACACTCGACATATGTACACACCTGTGCACCTCTCCCTCGTACATGAACTCCTTGTACTGATCGTTAAACGCACAAGTTATAGTGTCCTTCTCGTCGATCAATATTCTTCTGATGCCGTCTTGGAAGCCGATCTCGCGCGGATCGTCCCAGTTCATGAAAACCACACCCGTCTGTCCGTAGTATCGAATCTCACGCGGTATGTTGTCTATGTTTATCGATTTCATGGTGTCACGTGCGATCTCCGTCAGTAACTTCGAATCGGGCGGCGGTAATTCCCGATTGTGCGCGACCGTGTTCTTCACCACGGAGTAATTTTGATCGTTGTCTTCGTGATCGTATTTGGCGGACGTATTTGGCGACACGTTTCTGCTGGACGTTAATGGCGGTATATTCGGAGTTGGCAGAAGATTCGTCATCGGTCCGTTGTTCATTATCATCGCGGGATGGCATCCCATTGTCATAGGAGAGTTCGACAGGGGACCGATCGGTCCTAGCGGGCCGTTCGGCAAAAGATTCGACATGATCGGGCCGTTGGGACCCAGCGGACCCATCATACTGGGTCCTAAACGCGCATTGGGACCTAGATTGTGATTGAAACCACCGTGATACTGATAATCCGGTCTCATTGGACCAAAATGTCTCGGATTCTGCCAGGGAGCGACCGGTCGCAAATCTGCGTTGTAATGTCCTTGAGGTCCGCCGTACGGCCCCGGCGGATGTGCCCACGGCTGCTGCCACGGCTGATTCTGCCATCTTGGACCGTTCGGATTTCGCGTTATCGGATGATCCTTGTTTCGCAAGATATCCTTTTCGCTGGATGGACTGAACGTCGCGGCGCGATCCACATCCATGTTGATGCTCTTCTCCCATATTACAGTACCGCCTTCCTTCTCCTTACGCTGCGCCGCGCGCAATTTTCGATCTTCGCTCATGTGCAACACCTCCTGGATCAAGGTGTTGTACTGTGACTTCGTGATTGATCCCTGATTCAACTGCTCGGCGGCTTGTTTCATTATTATCTCGATGTTTCTGTCGTCATTTCTCTCGGACTTGTCGTTCTCTCTGCCTCTGCGCCCAGGCCTGCCGTCCTGATCTTCGTTCGACAACGTTCTTCTTCTCTCTTTAGGATCGTCCGGCAGCTTATTGTACAGTCTGAGACGACCAAGTCGGTCCCTGTTGCGATCTCTGTCACGTTTATCGTCGGTGTTGTTGACTTGCTTTTCTCTGTCGTTCTTTGTGGGCGTTTTCAATTTCGCCCAGCCGTCCTTTCCGTCCTCGCCGGAAATTACGGGCGGCGGAGGTGTCGGCGGTCGACCTGCCTTAGGATGTGTCAGAGTGCGCAAATCTACGTCTTCGTTACCAAATAATCTGCAAAGAAAGTAAAGTTGGTGAATGAAACTCCGTTGCGAACGGATGTGATTTACACAGAAATGATACGTGTCACACACTCAGTATGCACATACATTTATCATATTGTATACATACGCATCGAATTTCTCAGCCTTAGATTTCTTAGATGGTGTTACTTCTATATGTTCTTCACTGCGTCTTTTATTAGTATTAACAGACGGTAATACTCGTAGATCTAAATCCTCTTCTGGAAAAGAATTCAAGGTAGAGTAATTGGCGTAACGCAAAAAGTTGATTAGAAGTAACTTAACATTACCATTTTGATTATACAAATGTCTAATTTTTCGTTTCAATATTATAATTTTTCTCAAATAGATTTTCCTCTTCGAGTTTATATAACGAGAGAAGAAATGGTTTTTATTAACAGATTTTGCCCAAGTTACTGGAATTTATACAAATTAGAAACGAAAGAAAGACAGAAAGAAAGAAAAGAAGAGAGTGAGGTGAAGGAATCACAAGCGCACAATAAAGTCAAAGATATTTCTTCTAAAGATATCACCTGTTACAGTCTTGCAATTGCTACCAGAGATGAGGCAAACATTGTAGTCACCTTCATGAGAAAATATTCAAGACAAAATCTTATCAAGTAATTCAGAGAAAGCATACATAAAAAAAAAAAAAATTGATAGATATTCTCGCATGCAATTGAATGTGTAAATAACGAGAAATGTTTTTTGTTTTTTTATGATTTTTTTTGTGGAACAAAGAGCGTTACACAAGATGCTACCGAAAAAAAATAATATACAAATAATTGTGCTAAACACTGTTGACTCACTCTTTTCAGATACAGACACAGCAGTGGTAGGTAGAGATAGCGGCGCCCTGAGATCTTCGTCTTTACTAGAGGATTCCAATGTTGGTTCAGCAGCGATTTGAGCATTTCCAGCACTGGAGGCTGGAGAATGTTCCGGACTAAGACTGTCATCTTTATTACGCCTTACATAATTTCTCTGCCTAGCGTTTGGTCGAATCTCTTTGAATGCAGGTGGATGAGGAGGAGATACTATCAGCGAACCAGATTGCTCCTCCTCAGTAACACCGCCAGAACTGTTTAAGCTTGAAGAGCCCGATTTTGTATCATTTCGCCTGGGGATTCTGTACGGAGGACTCGGACTACGCTTTCTCGATTTCATATTTTTCTTGCGATTTTTAGAAGAGGCTTGGAAGGATTTTGGAGAGGTACGTGAGGACGGTGAACTGTCTCCGCTGTCTTTCTCGCGAGATTTCGACCTAACCGGACTCGAGTCTCTGTCGATTTTCGGTATTTTATTCGGACACATCTGAGGGTGTTTAGACCGCGACTTATTCCCTAGTTTCCTATGCGAGGATTTGGAGGAAGTGGAAGATTTTTCAGATGTCGAAGAAGACGAGGAAGAGCCGCGTGAGATCGAGCTCTTCGAATCTTTGGACTTGCTGCTTGAATCACCGCTTCCACTTCCCCGATTGCTCGCTGACAAAGCTGAAGATGAGCTATTACTAGCCGATAAATTCTGACTGTTCTTGGAGCTGTTACTGTTTAGGTTACTACTATTACTAGTCAATCGAGGGTCTTTCTTTTGACTCGTTCGATGCAAGACAGCATCTTTATTTGTGTTATCACTGAAATTTTTATTATTATTATTGTTGTTGAGGTTCGTATTAGCATGATTGTTATTAATAACGTTTAATAACGTTGAATTATCAGAACCGGCAGGAACTGCCGGAGGCTTGTTGACAGTGCTAGTTACAGCCGGTTTCGAGATAAATTGCTGCTTTAATTGGTTTGAAGTTACAATTGTATTTGCGACTGGCTGCGTTTGGCCTTCACTTCGCGATTCTTTTGGGCTTGTTATACTCGACCGTTGACGTGGGTCTACTGTTGCCGTAGGCGTTACAACATCCTGAACAACAGGATTCAGCTTCAAACGTGGATCTCGTGGAGTAGCATTGATCTTATTATCCCTCGCTATTTGCATCATACTGACCGGTGAAATTCGTGGACCGCCACTGGCTCTTGCGTTCTTCAAGAGCGACGCTGTGGCTGCAGGAAACTAAGAAAACACAATCGTTAGTAATATATGAAATTCACACTTGACGTGTTACAGATGATGTATTTGACTTACTTGTTTTGTTACGTCTATCGGCGTTTGATTTGGCACTGTGGATGCTACAGTTTTTCCTGACGTTGCTGCCTCCGTAGTCGGTGGAACATGTGCGGTGGATGTAACCTGTTGCAAAGAAAAATGATAAATGACTATATTTTGAACTACATGATGTACCAGCATGCGATTATATATACAACTTACTATTTCTGTCTTTAAATTTCCGGCTTGTTTGTCAAGTTGTCTCTGCTGTTGTTCTAAGCTGGCTTTAGCTTGTAATAATTCTAGTTCAATTTTCTTCTTTTGCAGTTCTAGCAACTCCCGTTGCTTCTTCAATAGCTGCTCTCGCATAACTGCCTCTGTTGTGGTCACCGGTTCCCCGGGTGGCAATTTAACAGGCGACACGATCGACGTTGCGGTTTGTTGAGGCTACAAGTATTTTTGTATTGTATAGATATGTTGTGATATGACGAAGATGTCAGTTATAGAGATTGTCAGTTATGTGTATACGCATATACTTACCATCGATAAAAATCGTGGATTAACATGTATAGATCCAGAAGACATAGTGGTAGGAGGGGCAGTGATTGGCCATGCAGGGTCGATACTTTGGACCCGCACGTCTAATGAAAACAACTTTTTTGGTGGAAATACATCATTCCACGTTTGCCGCAATTTCCACATACAGGCTCTTGTATTCTCATCGACCTGTTACATGCAAAAGTGACAATTTAATTTTTATATATATATACAATAAAATTTTTTAATACAATTAAAATCTAACAGAACGGAATATTAAACATCTTTCCAGATAAAAAAAGATTAGCTACATCTACTTGTGTGAAGCCTTTTAGAGATGTAAGACCAAGTGATGTTGCATATTGATCAAACAATTATCTTATGCTACTGTGAAACATATATAGTACCGAGAGACTTTACACGTGTGATGAAATATTTCTGACACTAATACATTCGTCGAGTTCATGCGCGCGCATAAACTTTTATCGTACATAAGTATAAACTAAAGGTTATTCCAGGTCACCGACAAAGTTCCCTCCGATTGGAAGAGAAAGAAACGTATTTAATTTTTATTCTCATCGTAATTATAAATTTTATTTTTGAAAACAAACATTTTTGTGCGAGTAGTTTTTTTTAATTAATGTAAAAAAAAAACTCTTCTAAAAACTAATACTATGCAAAATATATTTAAAAGATATTTACCTTCTCAAACACTCCGCAGAACGTGTTCACTATGTTTTGTGTGAAGAGATTCAAATAGTCTCCGTTCACATTTTTGACAATTGAATCGATGAGATAGAGTACTGGCAACTTAATGTCACTTCTCACCTAAAGAAACACAATGCATACCATTCTCACTATGTTATAGATGTATTAAAATTATTGCGCATAGATTTTCAGTTATTAATTATCTAAGACTTTATTCAGAATATAAATTCGAAAATAAATTGATTTCACACGTGACATTATTATAATAGTTAAGAGCTGTTATCACGTAACGCTTTAATTCATTGACACATGATCACTTCCAGTTACTATTATCTTAATACGAATTATATTTATCTAGTTTCGCGGTATGTGATTCTTGCTAATTCGGATGGTGTAAATAGTCAGGTCACATCAAAATATCATGACAGAGTGTGTCAACAAGAGTGAAATTATTACATATTTCTCCTCACAAACTATTTTTTTTTTTCACCAATTTGAAATCAATTTTTCCTTGGAACAGCTTGATAGGAAGCCCAATTACACAGACATATTATTCAAACAATGAAAAATCCATTACTGAAATGAAATTTGTTTTTTTTTTTTTTCAAGGGTAATTTTGAAAGGATGATGTACATAGTAAACTCTCTTTTTGCAATTAAATGTATATAATACTGCCACTTTATTAGATTATTATTAGTACATTTGTAATGCTGAAAACAAAATTGAAGCAANAAAAAAAAAAAAAAAAAAAAAAACAGCTGCCTATCATTATCTTCCAACAGAAAAATTTACTATAACTTAATTCTTAACAATATACAAATATATATATATTATTTTTAATAAGTTTACAAACATGTGACTTTATTGCATACAAAAAAGAAGCACTTTGTGTGCAATATTAAAATACAATAAGACTAAAGAGCAGAAAATCTTCAATAGTTCTGTGTCAACAAAGTTTTTATTAAATTATTAATTTTGAATAAATATATCGTATATGTAAATAAACTTTTTAAATAGTTGTAGAGAGAAAGAAAAGAGAAGTTATATATAAAATATATATATATGACTATATATAAACAACCTTTTGTAGATGATTCTCAACAGCCTGCACTATCGCTGGTGCATGTTCAATGTTATCTTCTGCCAGCATTGTGAGCATGTTAATAAGCGGCTTACTGTTGATTGTAAGATCTGACAGGGAGGAGATATACTCCTCTGCCACTTCTTTTGACTTTGTCGATGTCATCTTGATATGCTGTTAATGAACAAATGCAAGAGAGAGACCTCTTGAGATAAAACCCAGAGAGGGGTTTTTTAACTGTAACATAAAATAGAAACACATGCTCTTGTATTATATACAAAAAAAAGTTGTTCAAACATTTTTATAGAAAACAAGAGATGAAGATTAAAAAAAAATATATATATAGCGTAATCCCGGTCATTATTTGTTTAGCAAAATACAGTTTAAACAAAGCGATGTAACATACAAAGTAAAAGAGAAAGTGGGAAAAATTTTCAAAATAACAAAGAAAACCTCAGGAAAAAGTTTTTGATTGCCCGGAGGTTTAAGGAACACAGGTATATAATTCAGATAAAGAGCGCAGTATCTATAGAAACAAGAAACAAACGAGATTTTCTCCTCAGGTATTCAAAGGTGAGTCATCCATTGAACAAGAAACAATACAACACAAAGAAAGAAAATAAGAGAGAGAGCATCTTTAATAAAATAAGTGCTCGAGAAAAAACTCAGAAATGCGTCGGCAAAACCGGACACGCAGATGAGACGAGAGATTTTTTGTTTTTTTTTTTCTTCCCCGATCATCCCGCGAGAAAAGACACAACTTTCGCCGTGCGAAAGAACACGCAATCTGGGACAGAAGTGACGAGACACGTACAATATGTACCTTTAAACCGTCCCGTTGCGAATCGGAGCAAAACCGAGAAGTCCGGTTAGGAGGTTTCGCGCCGAATTAATTCCGAAAATTGACCTGGTGTTTCGTATAATGTGCGATAAAAATTTTCAGCAGCTCTTACAAAGCCACCGACGTAGGTCAGCTCTCTATACGCAGAGAAACACTTATCGATTTCGTTGGCAGTCTCTCTCCCTCTCTCGCACACGCACTCACTCACTCACTCACTCTCTCTCTATCTCTCTCTCGCTCGTTCGCAAAGAGTCGCGGAAAATGTCCCTAATTTTTTCCGCGAACTCGGCCACGTTGCGTAATTTCGCTCAACCGTCGGACACACCTCGCGGTGTCGCCTGGCGACACGGCGTAATCGCGAGCGCGCATCTGGAGTATCAAATCGTCGTCACGTCTCGGGTCACCCTTTTTTTTTTTTTCGATGGCCGATGTCTCTCTCTCAAACGGCGAGAACCGTGTCCCGTCTTTCTCAACGCACGCGATTTATATTCGCACTCACATCTCACATCGACACACACCTGGCGCGATCCGCGCGATAATTACCTTTCTTAGCACATTGTGTAACGTAAGAGCGATCTGTGCGACGCGACTGTTTCCCGACGTATCACGTTGAAAAAAACGCACATTGGAAAACCACGCGAGTACAACTACTACGTACTCTGTCTACGCGACGGGACGGGATCTGCTCCACACGCAAAATGGCGGTGATACCTAGCCTTTTCTGAGGCGAGAAACGCTCTGTGTGAACGACGTTCGTCGATTCGCTTACACGGAACGGAATGGTGGCCGTTTTCCGACTCCGACCGCGATTGGCCAATCGACGATCGCGTTAGAAGCGTGTCTGATATCGTGGCGTTCACCTTAGGACTGATCCGCACGACGAACGCTCTTCTTAGGGTTCGTGTACAAGAGTCTTCGTTTCAACTTCGCGTCGCGAGAAAGGCAGAAGCCGCCACCGATCAGTTACTCGCCACAGTCGCGACGCGGACAACCTCCGTTCGACAAAACGCGGTTCGATTGTCAAGAACGCACGGAAAATCTGAGCTGACAGTTAAAGATCACAAAAAGATCAAGTTAAGTCACAAAAAACTGTAGCATTTAAGTAAATCAATCAATCACATGCTAGCTTTCTTCAAAAGAATGCCGATCTTTGATTGGTTGATTGAAGTTTCTTTACAGCCCGGTTCCACTTGCGATTATCGACGATGATACGTGCGATGACCTGGGTTATCTGACGTTGATAAGATCGGTATGTTCTGAAGTAAGCAAACGAAACTGTCCATGGAAGAAAACGCCAACGTGACAAAGTGCACGATTGGATGATTTTGACAACTTCAAAGGTGCTGGATATTGACTTTGGTTAGCCAGCTTGAGAATTTCGACGGCTTTACAGCTCTAAATGCGACACCGAGAGCGCGTTCGTCGGCTCTCAGGAATCGCAGTGGTGTTCGCAAGCCGGGTAACTTGACGGAAGGAGAGAGAACAGCGGTCGTCGGTTTCCGTATCTACGTGTCAAACACTTAAGCGAGGTTAGGGTTTGTTCTTGTTTGCAGCCGCGATGACGAGCCTACGCGACCGTCAGATTAACGCCCTGAAGCAGATGCTGAATCTGAATCAGCCGGAGTCGAGGCTCGAGGAGGCGATGCCGACGTGGAAGCTCCTCATCTACGACCGCCTGGGTCAGGACATTATCTCGCCGCTGATTTCCGTGAAGGAATTGCGCGAGCTCGGTGTCACGCTGCATATGCTGCTGCACTCGGACCGTGATCCTATTCCCGAAGTACCGGCTATCTATTTCTGCGCGCCCACAGACGAGAACCTCGGCAGAATCGGCCAGGATCTGCAGAACGGTCTGTACGACATCTACCATCTGAACTTCATCTCTCCGATTTCCCGGCAGAAGATGGAGGACCTCGCGACCGCGGCGCTGCTTGGCGGTGTCGTTTCCAATATCCACAAAGTGTTCGATCAGTATCTGAACTTCATCAGCCTGGAGGATGACCTGTTTATCCTACGCCATCAGAACAGCGACGTGATATCCTACCACGCGATCAATCGCGGTGACGTCAAGGATAGTGAGATGGAATCCGTAATGGAGATTATTGTAGACTGTCTGTTTTCAGTATTTGTCACACTGGGCACCGTGCCGATCATAAGATGTCCCAGAGGCAACGCCGCTGAGATGGTCGGTAAGATGATTGACAAGAAACTACGGGACAACGTGTGGGACGCGAGGAACAACTTGTTCGAGGTTGAGACAACAGGTCACTACAGTTTTCAGCGGCCTCTGCTCATTGTGCTGGATCGCAACGTGGACATGGCAACGCCGCTTCATCACACGTGGACGTATCAGGCGTTGGCACACGACGTCCTGGACATGGCGTTGAATCGACTGGTCGTGGAAGAGAGCGTAGGACGGTCTCCCACCGGCGGTACGCGCTCCAAGACGCGCGCCTACGAGCTGGACAACAGAGATCGCCTGTGGAGCCAGCACAAAGGCAGTCCGTTCCCTCGCGTGGCCGAGGTTATTCAGGAAGAACTGGAGCAATATCGCACATTCGAGGAGGACGTCAAGAAACTCAAGTCCACAATGGGCATCGACAACGACAGCGAGGTAGCGCTGTCCATGGTGTCTGACAACACCGCAAAACTGACCAGCGCTGTGAATTCGTTGCCACAGCTGCTCGAAATGAAACGGCTGATCGACATGCACACGTCTATGGCCATGGCCATTCTTAACGTCATCAAATCGAGAAGACTGGACATCTTCTTCGAGCTGGAAGAAAAGATCATGAGCAAGCAAACGCTCGACAGGAGCGTGCTGGACACCATCAGCGATCCCGACTACGGCACTCCCGAGGACAAGCTGCGCCTCGCCATCATCTATTACATCTGCACGAATATGTCCGACTCGGATTACGTCAAGCTGGAAACGGCTCTCACCGCCGCGGGCTGCGACCTGAATCCGCTGGTGTATATCAAACGACTGCGCAGCTACACCAGAATCGCCGAGATTCAAGGCAGCTACGAGGGCGGCGGCACCAAGACCGTCAGCATGTTCTCCAAGCTGATGACTCAGGGCTCGTCGTTCGTCATGGAAGGTGTCAAGAATCTGGTGGTGAAGAAGCACAATCTGCCAGTTACCAAGATCGTGGACGAGCTGATGGAATCCAAGCAATCGTCTCGCACCGAGGACTACCTTTATCTGGACCCGAAGCAGCTCAAGCACACGGACCAGATGCCGAAGAACCGACCGACGTTTCAGGACGTGATAGTCTTCGTGGTCGGGGGCGGTAACTACATAGAATATCAAAACTTGGTGGACTACGTGAAGCAACGAAGCGGCGCCGGAGTGAACAAACGTGTCATCTACGGCTCCTCGACCCTCGTCAACGCCAAGCAATTGCTCAAGCAACTTTCTCTGCTCGGCCAGGAAGCTCAGTCGTGAACGGGACTCGATACGCATTTGTCATTTCCTCTTCTTTTTCTTCTCCTCTCTCTCTCTCTCTCTCTCTCTCTCACACTCTCGCTCACTCGTACGTTATCTCCTCACATTTTACTTTTAATAATCTATTATTATTATTAGATACTCATAGCTCTTGTATAAAGTGTACGATATGAATAAAAGTCGATTTGTTATTTTCATCAACGCCTCTCATGCTGCTTGTTCTTCTTCTAACCGTCACGTGTGTATCCGACACGTGTTTCTTATCAGAAAGCCTCTTCGCCGTTAAACCTCAACATGCGCGACTGCGTTCAGATTGTTTGGTCGATCGATCGTACTGACTAAGGTTGCGTTTTACACTCTCGGTGGTAGTTTCTTTTTTCAAAAGTTGTGTATATTTTTGGAGAGTTACAATTCGCACCGAAAATTGCGAGCTTTTTAGATAAAAGACACTCACTTCGAAAATTGATAGTCTAAGAAAATCAATGGCTACGCAAAGTAGATCGAGGAATCTCGTGCGGAGAGCCGTCATCGCGACCGATTCTAAGAAAGCGGTTACGGAGTACTTCGTGTCCAAGCAGGAGGAACGTCAATGTCTCAAGTAATTTTGTAATTTAGAGAAAACGAAAAAGACACATATCGAGTCACACATTTTTGTCATTGAGCTTGAACGTGTGACATCAGGCAATATCCGGAATGGGACAAGGTGAGAGCTTGCCCGGCGACCGAGGTGGTCAGGGTACGGCGAGAATTGAGCGAGGCCGAGGAGATGTTGAGAGAAAAACGAGCGGAACAGAAGATGAAACGCAAGCAGATGGACGAGAAGTGGGAGGAAACGAGAAAGCAGGAATTGTCGCTGCGCGAATCCTTCGTAAAGTTTAACGTGCTCGTGAAGGAAAACGTTGAGAAGCGCGAGCGAGCGGAGCAGAAGATCAAGGAGGAGCACAAGCGTCAGGAGAAATACAAACGAGAAGTACGAGGAACTCGATAGGAACAACAAACGTTTGTTGCTTCGTCAACGTTAATTTTTTTTCTCGGTTGGTTATTCTGTAAAAAAAAAAAAAACCCGTGTAAATTACAATAATTTGTTTAACAGATCGATGAGTTGGAGATGAAACTGCGTTATTTCACGGAAGCGCTCGACAAGATGCAGCATTACGTAGAGAAATACAAGAAGTTTCAAAATTATTTGGAGCGAGTGGTAAACGAGACGGGCGAGTTTCAGTCGATCACCGAAATCTTCAATCGTTACGAAACTCTGGTCGAGGCGAGACAAGCGTTGTCCGATCACCAGGACAGAAACTTACAATTGCTCGAATCCAAAGGATCGGAAATAGTAATATTTTCGTTCGGATTCACGCGAAATTCACACGCTAACATTCCGTCCACAAATTTTATCTTTAATTGTTTAACAATTTTTCTCTAAATAAAAAAATATCTAGGTGCAGCTGACGGAGGCCAAATCTCAGATGTTGATGGGATTGAATAACAAATTGGCGCAATTGCAAGCGAGATACGATCGGGCGAAAGCGCGGGCAATGAGATGGGAGACGATTGTGTCGAAAATAAAGGAAACCGCAGCGACCAAGAATCTGGAGTTGACGCAAGTGAGGGCGTGCTGCTGGAACATCTATCAGCAGATCTGCAAGCGAAAAGAGATACCGATCGAGGTGAGCAGCGAGGACGTCGAGCAGCAGCTAGTACATATCAAGAGAACCATCCTCGAACTGAAGCGGATCATCAAGGTCGCCAAGAAGAGAGCGAGGGAAGAAGAGAAAGGTTTACCGCAACGCGAATAAGTAATAAGTTTATATCTCGCTGTTTATATCTCGTCGCGGTTCTGCGGTGCTGCGAACTTAATAAAACCTTGACGAAACAACGAGGCGAATGACAAAACCCCACCGCGTCTTTTTCTTTGTGGCGAAAAATTGTGCGCAGAAAGATTAAAGAGATTTTTAATTTATTAGAATTGTATATAAATGTTTCATATAAACAGAATCAATTTTTTTTTAATTAAAAAAACATGTTTTATATAAACTTGATACTTTTATATAAATTCGATAATTTATTAGAATTGCGTAAAAATTTTTTTATAAACAGAATTATTGTTTTTTTTTCAATAAAAAATATTGTTTTATAAACTTGATATTTTTGTATATTCGCTCGATGTTTTAACAAATAAATTAAAAATTTCTCAGATCCATCGTATAAATAACAAATGGGACAAGCGTGTGAATAAAATCACTTTATTACGGTCTTTTGTTACACGCGCACGTGTAACACGTCGCTTTCGCTCGACAATCTGATCGTTTATAAGCCGAATCCTCATACGAGCACGTCGTTATGACATCAGGCAAACGTCAGGTCGCGGCGATGTGATGGAAGGTGAAGAAATAAAATGCGCGCAATTACGTTATATGATTCCGTTTATTGATAGCGTTTTTGCATAATCTTCCTAGCCGCCGGTAAGTGACAGGCGGACACGTTATGAAGCATCTCCGAATAATCGTCCTCGAGCCTTTTCCGCAGCTTCTGCGAGGCTTCGATATGTGTCAGCGGCGAATCCAGCCCTTCTCTAACAATCTGCATTTGCTCGTGCTCCACGCAGCTGCGGATCCGAAACAGGGAGGGGTAAAAATAGAACAGGGTCTTTTTTTACTACCCGCGTATCCTCGACACTTCACAAATTTATCTCTACCGTTTCTCGTTGTTGATACACGACACCTTCAAAACGTACCACATCTGCTAGAAGCGGATCTATTTCTATTATTACAGTTCCGGAAAAGAGGAAAGTTAAATAAAAAATATTTAAAAAAATGTAAAAAAAAATATTCAAAAAAAATATAAAACGCAAATTAGCCGCTCGCGCGTTTTCGGATACGCGCGAAATTTCGAGGATACGCCCGTTACGATCGGAAGAATTTAAGTCGAGGAAGATGAGGAACGGACAAGAAAAGGAAGCGACGGGACTCACAGAGGACAGGGTTGAGTGGGCACGATGCGACTGAGACCGGGCATCTTCAGCCTCGGTTTTCTGTCCTCGTCAACTCGCAGCTGCGCCGCTTTGCTGGCCTTGTCCACCCAATAGACTTTGTGGAACATCTCGGTGATCCGCTTCTCGATCAGTTCCAAGTAGAGCATAACGTTGCTCATAGTCACGTGGGTGTTATCGCCCAGCAGCTCCAGAATTGGCGAGTTGTCGCATCGTATCGTTCTGAAGAGATCGTCGATTCCCTGCAGCAGCTTGCCCATCACGTCGTTGCACTGAGACGATGAGTAATCGTTCGATTTGTCACATCACGCGGATATATTTTTTAAAAGTGCGGACTAATTTTTCTACATATTCAAATTAAGACCAAGGCTTAGTGTCGCGGAATCGCAAAATCATTTTTTTCCAAAAAAGCGAAAAAATGACTTCCTGTTATAAAAAAAAAAAAAATATAAAAATCCACCGACGCGTTGGCATTGGCTCGTTCTACTTTTAATGTGAAAAATAAAAATGTTCAAACATTACTTTTAAATGTCTAGATGCAAAAATTGTTCTAATTGCAAACCTGCGCGAGATCTTTCGCCGCGGCGTCGGTCAACGCGATCTGATCCTGCAGCTGTTTCGTGATCTTCTCCAAATTCTCGGCCTGTTGCTGATCGCGATGCACGTTCTGAGCTCGCGCCTCGTCAATCGCCGCAGTCAGCTGCTCCATCCTCGCCTGAAGACTCTCGAGCTCGTCGTTGAGCTCGTTCACGTAATTGAAGAGCGCGAAGTTCTCTTCCTCTTGCTTGATGAAGTGCGCGGTGAGCTTGTCGATGTCTTGCTCACCTGTTCGACGGTTATTTATTTTAACCGATACTCTACTTACAAGATTCCGAGATTTCGATCGAATTGCGTCAAGTAAAAAAATTGTACAAATTTTATCTTCAAATTAACATGTCGATGATATTTTGTGTAAACATTACTTAAAGAAACTATTTGCTTATAAATTTTGATCTAAAATTGATAAAAAAAAATGTCTTTTAAAAATATGATGTCGTCGGTACGCCGGTCGCGAATGAAAATGCGCAAGTCGAGGTAAAACGTTAAGTAGAGAGTACAGTTAATTACTGCGTAATTAACGCGGATAGCGAAAGTCACTAAAAGTAACATTTAGACATAAAAAAAGAAGAAGCACCGGTAAATTGCTTAATCGTCTGCAGGATTTGCGTAAAGGCCGCTATCTTGTTCTGTTTCTCCTCTCGCCTCGCCTGCCTCTCGGCCTCCTTCTTCGCGTTCAGATCGGCCATCTCGCGGAACTGTCCCTTCACACCGAGAAACTCCTGCAGCTTCATCTCGTTGTCCAGGGTTCTCTTCAGCTCGCACATCTCCGACGTGTGGTTTCTCAGATCTCTTATTCCTCTGCGAACGGAAGTTCTCGACTCAAAACCCGGCGATCGATTTTCCGCGGTGGGAAATTCGCATGTGAATCGAATCGTCACGAGATCGGAGAGCAACGGCGATTCGCGGCGGAAATTTGCACGCGCCATTGGCTCGGTCGGACGCAGTTCCGAGTTTCTCTAATTCCGCAACGTTCATTTCCGATTTCGAATGTCGATTTCGTCGCAGCCGAACGATCGTTTGAATTTACGAGGCAACACAGTTGCCGACGACGAGCGCGTTTTCGCTTTCGCGCAATTTCGGCTTCGCGCGAGATTTATGTTTCAGAAACCCGCCGGGGAAACATTAGACGCGTGCGGTTTCACACGGAGGGGTTTTTTATCGCCGGAAGCGGAAGTCGGTCGCGTTTACCTCTCGCGCAGGGCTTGGATTTTGCTGAGCTCCTCGTCCCGCTGATTGAACGTGATCGTCGCCTGCTCGATCAGATCGTTGATGATCTGCTTGCCCGTGTTCAGTTGGCCGAGCAGCTTGTTCCACATCTGCGTGAACTGCCCGCGTTCCTTCAGCAGTGTCTCGATCTCGGCGCGCAGCTTCGCGTTCTCCGCGATCACCTGATTGAATCTCTTCGTGGCCACTTCCACCCGATTCTCCAGCATGAGTATCATCCTGGCGTGTCGCGCGGTCATTTCTCGCAACTGCGTGTCGGTGCGCACTTTCATTCTCAAATTGCCAACTTCCTTCGAGAGCTGTAAAACAGACAAGTTTTGCGTTTCTCTTCTTCTCGAGTTGCAAAGTCGCAAATAAAAAAAAGCATTGATTTTAATGCGTTTTCAGTCTCGCAAAGTTGTGTTCAGGTATAAAAAAAAAAAAAAGTAATTAATATTCAATCCGTGTAACATCGCGGCAATACCAGTAACCTTGCCGATCTGCTCGTCGAGCTGAGCGATCTGCCGCTTCTCGTTCTCTATCAGCTCGATGTAACCGGCGCGCTTCTCCAACAGACATCTCAGCTTCTCGTTCATCTCCTCGTCCTTGCGCGCGAATGTCTTCGACTTCGCGGTCTTCATCACCAGCACCAGTTCGGTCTTCTCCTGCTCCAGATGTTCGATCATGTTTTGCTGATTGCGGAGCTGCAATCTCGCGTCCTCCGCGCACGCCGCACGATCGTTCTCCATTATTCTGTACTGCCTCTTCAGTCTTGACAATTCCACCTCCGCCATCGTCTCGAGCTCCAGCTCGTCCTGAGTCTGTTGCGGTCTATACATTTTGAAGTCTCGTCTTCGGACGACTTTATTTCTCGACGATTCTTAAATTCGACGAAGATGAAATAGAGTTTAAAATTAAAAAAAAAAATGTAAAAATTAAATTTATATAAAAATTGTATGAATTTAGGGAAAAACTTTCTTTCCACGTGTTTTCCTTAAATTCGTGAGGTTATATCGCGCGTGTACTTGCTTTTTACACTAGATTAACAGAAGACAGCTCGAGATAGTTCCATGGAAGACGTCTTCGCAATCGATGCCGTCGATCACGAAGACCCATGCAAAAGCGAATAACACTCCCCTGTAATAGATTTTTAGTGACATCAGACGCGGACATCTGAGAATGACATCTGCCACCCCGTGCAGCCAAAGCAGCTGTACAACGTACCACCCAGCTCTGTTGTTACTTCCGGTTGCCAAGCAATAGACTCAACGACGTAACATTCGCGAGACGCTCTCGGAATTTAATTTCTGATTAAAACGCACAAGTATTGCGTATAGAATTTTGTATTGTTTATTTTTTACGTAAATATTGCTATTGTAAAACATTGCAATTTTTCAATATTTTTAAATAGTGCGCTACAACAAAAATATACATTTGGCAGCAGAGAGAGATATTTTATATTGAGAAATCTGTCAATATTTCAATCTCGCGGGATAATGTTCCTGCAGCAATATGTCTCCATATTAAACATTTTTCCGCGCTGTCATAGCTCTTTTACTGTCTGCGTAAAATTGCAAGACGCATTTCCGAGTATAATTGACGAGTGACGACGAGTAATTAACATTATCGTCCATCCACGGATGTCGAGGAACGTCGATGGACAAGAAGGCGCATCATGCTGGTTCAGCGTGAGGTTCAAGTATATTATAATACATGCATAGATATACGTATATTCGGTGAGATCCAGTCAGGTGGCGGTTCGACCAGGTGGGTCAAGTGGTGGGGCAATGTGCTCAACGATGCGGACGGGGGAGACGTTACAACAGTACACCTCTGGAGGGGAAAGTCGCCAGGTCGATCGGTTTCTGCTCAGTGCGCGCGGCTGACAAACGCGCGGACCATCTTCGGGTTTGGTTCGCATTGTCGATTACGATCGTTCGTAGTTGTGTCGCATTAAATTACGCCAGCATAATCGATCACACATCAGTCGGTTAAGGTGTTCAAGTCTCAAGCGACTGTGCGGCAACGCGATTTTGGAGGTCGCTCGAGCAGTCGCGTCGATCGATACCGAAGCAGTGTGAGAGACTGTACATGCGGATGACAATATAATTATTGAAAATGTCAGTGATAAGATAGTGATGAAGTGCGATAATGTTATCGCGTGAATTCCAACGTTGACACTCATTATATTTTCAAGTCAAAGTTGTCGATGGAAGAATGGATCGCTCGAGATCTTTACGCATAGTAGGTATATATATATATATCTTAATATATATATTTCTTGTATATATATATACGTTTGAAAACAGCTACTTTGTTCGTCTACAGAAATGAAAGATGTATCTTAACAGATTGGGTTCTACCTGACTTCGTTCTGTCTGGTTGTCGCACTCGAACACGTCACGTGCAATTTGCAGCGAAATTAAATTTTCAATTAAATTAGAAAAAAAGAGTCAAACAAGCTGGTTCCTTGCGCGCAGAAATAAATTTTAACTCTGTCTAACAACCAGCTTGTTTCGTGCGAGTTTTGCCTCGAATTGATTTTGCACTTCTTCGCGGGATGAATTTGATCGTTTAAAAAACTGTTCGTCAGAATGTGTGTATTGCAAAATTTCGTGTCACGTTTGGTACACCCCTCGACACAAAGAGGCGAACGCGCCGAGCCGAACGAATTACTTTCAACCGTCTCGGCGCAACATGGTAGGGAGAAGTGGCCGCACGCTGTATACGCGATTCCGTAATACTTATTTTCCACTCACGGCTAGTGACTCACTCATTGGCCGACTGTGCTACGGCGAACAGGTAAAACTGCGCGCGTGTGTGTGTGTATGCGTGTGACGTGTGTTGCGTGCGAAATACATACGCGAAATCGTACAAAATTATAATAGTGAACTCGCGAAAGGTGGAGTGTCAGGTTTGGTGCGTGCGCGTTTCGTAAATACTGCGCGAGTTTTTTTAACGCGGCCATAAATATTCATCGCGTCATAAACAATTGGCACGAACTGTATTGCACGGACCGTGTAAAATTGCATATGAAATATTTATCAGAAAAAGAATGCGCTCGATGATTCCTCGCGTGTCGTATCTTACCACGTACATTCGGCGTGTACGTTTATTTCGTCGGGACGTGCTTTCGCGGGACGTGTGTACGTGCACCCGCGGTTCGATTTCCGCCGATCGAATTAAGTCGTCTGGTCTGGAGATTCATCCTCTTTATTGGATTTATTCGCGCGCTGAGGCGGGGTGAAAAAACGCGTGTAAACGTGCCCGAGCCGAATCGATAAATGCGAATTGTCGCGCGTGCCCGTCCGTGACCGTGTCTTCTTAGGGGTGACACGCACACTCTTTCTCTTTTTGTTTCTCGCGCGTTACATCGTCATTCAAGGATAAGGTGACATTTCAATTGGGTTCTTCGTCCCGTCGCGGATGGAGAAACGCGTAGATACTCCCACGCGCGCGCGAATCGATCCGAGCGCGAATCGATTTTCGGACGCCCGACGAAATCGACGCGCGTGTGATTAAATCCGCCCACGCGCGCCTCTCGGCGCGTTATACTCTTTTCTTTTTTTTTTTTTTTTCTTTCGCTCAACTCGCTCGTGAATTTTGCATTGCGGTGAAACTTTGTCTCAAAACTAAATGCACCGTAAAATTAATACTCGACGTTAACATTGAGACACGCGATCGCTATCAAACCTTTCTATTCTTATGTAAAACGCGTTTTCTCGGATTGTTTTCGCGATATATTAAATCAAATGGGAGACCTTTTCGATGGTTTTTTTTTCGACGTGCGAATTAATTGCCCGTGTAACGGAAATAACGTCGTTAACGTCGCATGCGCGTTTAGCGAAATGAAACTTGTTCCGCAATGAGTCGTTTGTCGAGTGTAGCTTGTGTGTAGTTTGTGTGTCGAGGCTTATCGTACAGAACAGGGTAGCTGTCGTGTAACTTTTTGATATTGATTCGCATTGTTTTTTTTTTTTTTTTTCAAAGGAAAGGAAAAAGCAATAAAAATCTGAATCCGAAAAATAATCCTCACCGTCGTTTTTCCGATATGTCGATGTATTTGAAACGTGACGCCAATCGCACGACAACAGAATCAATTTTCAATCAAAAGAAATGAAAATTAAAAACGAACTTGATTTTTTTCTTGCAGAAGCTGAACGCGCGACGACGAATCGGATACACGTCGCGCCGAGGAAAATCGTGTGATTCGGTCCTGGGAAAACATTCTCTTCGATATATCGACACGGTGAACACGTGGTGATCCACCGCAATTCTCTCCGCACAATGTTTTTTTTTTTTTTTTTTTTTTCTACAAAGTGAACGTGGAACGAATGAGCGAAGTGACGGCGCGTTGTAAAACTCGCCGCTTCGAATCGATCGTCGGATCGCCGTAAAGACTATTTTACGTGAATTTGTGAAACCGGACATTCAGTGTCGCAATTATCGTGACTTTCCATTCGGGTGGCCTTGTTCCGCGCGACGACAGACAATTCGCGAATCGCGGTCCGCATAGAACTCGCCTCGTTTTTGCTGCCGCGGGAATGTAAATGTGCGCGATCGTGGTGAATATTACTGGGAGAGAATATACACAATATCGGAAGAAACCTGCGTGTGGCGATAGCCGCGCTCTCCGATCGATAGCGCAGCGAACTTCCGCGATCGATATCTTCGGAAGTTCGCAGGTGCGTTGTACTCGTCGTTATTGTTGTTGACAGTGATGCCGCGCACAGCGTTGTTGAATCGTCGGTCTGTTCGTTCGCACGCGCGCGCGTATCGCATCGAGTGCAATGTCACGTCGGCTTGCAATCGCTTCCGGTAGCGGTCGAGCGCGCGTAATTTTCTACACAAAAAAGAAAAAAACCAAACTCGCAAGTGACTCATCGTGAAAAAAATACCTGTCTTCCTGTTGTCCGGCTTGCAGGCGCGCTATAGAAGTGAAAACCGGAAATTTTAATTGATTTTGTCTCAATCAATGGCACCCGATAGCCCAACGCTGTTCGCTCGTTATCGCAGCGCGTCGACTTTAATAACGTGCTGACGCGCGTAATTCTCAAAGTGTTTCACCTGACGTACGTTTATTCGCGCGTACGTCAGGCCATTTCCGAATTCTTATCGATCGAAATTTGATTTGATTTGTGACGTTCGCCGGGTGAGCGAGAGAGAGAGAGAGAGAGACGTTCGCGATGCTGCCGAAAAAAGACAGTCAGACGAGGCCGTACGCTCTCGAGGACATGATATCCGATCTCCAGACGAGGCGACACTCGCTGGAACACGAGGACACCGTGCAGGATCCCGCCGAGCTCCTTAAGCAACGCGAGAGGGATCTCGTCCTGGCCGCCGAACTCGGCAAGGCTCTGCTCGAGAGGAACCAGGAGCTGACGAAGCAGGCCGAGACCTTAGCCGAGGAATATTCCGTCAAATTGGAAGTAAGTGCTTGAATAAATTTTTGTGGACGAGAGTTCTCGACTCGCATAATTGAAAACAATAATTAACGTCTACGACGTAATCAAATGCACAATAATTGTTATTATTCTTCCTTCAATTGTTGACAAAATTAAAAACAATTATATTACATAATTGCATTACGTATATGGAGAAATTCTCGTAGAATTAATTTGTAAATAAAAAGAAGTAAACTCGAAAAAGGAAACGACAAAAGTAGCCGGCTAATAAAATACATACAACTCCGTATAAATATAATTTATTATGCGCGCCGGCAATTAAGAGATAAGCGAGTTAATTATGCGAGTTTTTTGCTCGTTCGACGTTTGTACGTAATAATAATTGAAGAAAAAAAATAATAATAATAATTGGAAGCTTGCAAAAGCACATTTCGCTCCTGATTAAATTAATTTTTACTTTTATCGCGTCGTGATGAAATTATTTATCGTAAAAACACACAGAGAGAGAAAGAAAAATATATTTTTACGACAAATATTACGAACTGCTTCTGTTTTCTACGCGCACATGTGCAATGCACGCGCGTTGCAGCGATTGTTCCACTTTCGCGAGGGATAATCCACTTTTTTTTGCAACTCGATATCGCCGTGTTGCGCTACTTTTATTACGAAATAAAAATGCAACAATGAGTCACTAACTAATGTATAAAAACAGCGACCGATGAGCTTCCGAGAGAGCTTCCGTTTGCTTCGTTTATAATAAAGATGTGACGCGAGCCGTTTATTTGGATTGTTGTTGCGCTCGAGCGCGATAACGCTGATAATAATCGCGCGAGATAAAACGTTTTTTTACGAGAGATGTAATTTCAAACACACCGTTTCAATATCACGTTATCTATTTAGAAAAGGAAGGAAGAGATAAATATTTTATCGGTGGAACCGATCTCTCGCGTTGTTCTTCCATGCGCAAAAATCGAAAAAAAAAAAAAAAAAGAAACGACAGAATCGCGCCGTTATGTGCTTGCGAGAGACAGTCCAACGCCATCGGGCGGAAATCCTTTTTCACCTTCGTGTCTAACGGATATAGTCACTTTCCAACATTATGGCCGGCTCGCCACGGAAAATTTGTTGCCGCTATGTACGCGCGCTCGCGATTACGTAAGTCGATAACGCGGAACTCGATGCGGGAAAGGTCGAAAACACGACTCGCGCTTTCAGGAAAAAACGCGATAAACGAAAGATAAATTCAAAGAACAAAATCAGAAAGAAGAGACATATTTTCTCTCTGTTTTTTTTTTTTGCATAAACCTGGTTTTTTAAATTGTCAATTGACTGTTTGCTGATCTTTTAATTAAAAACAGTTCTCTCTTTCTCTTTACGCAATCGACTTCGTTTTGATCGCTCCTTAAAACGATCGCTTCCTCTTTTCCTTTGTGTTTTTTTGAAAGACACGCGGCACGTTCGCGAGCAGCCAAGCGCAACGGTTACTCGCGTCTGCGCCTCAAATAGCTGTTTGCACGCGCGTACGTTTTTCCGCAATTCTCTCCTCCGCAACGAGCTGAAGAAGAAGAAGAAGAAAAAACAATGAAAGTCATAGAAAACGTATGCGCGCGCAGCAGTTACGTTTCACCCCGCGGAGATTTTACCGAAATCGGGCCACGAGATAGAGAAAGAGAGAGAGAAACTAAATTTCACAAGCGCGCTTTTCGACGCAAAACGCATCGAAATTGCGACCCGTGGGAGCGACACGTTTGAACCTGCCCGCCGGCCAGTATAAAATCCGCGTCTCGACGAGAAGAGCCGCGACGCGCTTCGCTGAAGATCGCTTGGGAACGCGACTGGAGCAAGAAACTATAAAAGTGTTTTCTTTTTGTTTTTACTCCGTCATTATTATCATAATTTTCTCATAAATTTCGATAGCGCGCAACACAGACTTAGGCTCGTGCCGACTAACGTCGTTTAATTCGCGTTGAACTTTCGTATTTCGCTCGAGATCGCGCAATCTCCAAGTTAAAGCGCCACTTAATTCAAGTTAACGTTCGAGCGCGATCTAATGGTATCTGGTAATAATAATAGTAATAATAGCGTTTTTTTTTTTTTTTGCGGTCGAGAGTCTGTCTCCTTCGCGTACTATTACTCGGATTTCGTCGTCGATCCCTCTAAAAAAGCGAGAGAGAGAAAGAGAGAGAGAAAGAGATCCACGAAAGCGTGGAAACAAGCTACTTAGGCAACTACGAGCGGTCTCTTCAGAGACAATGCCCGGCACTACGCTCTGCCTGCGTCTTGACTACCCACACATTTCCCTCCGTATCTTTCCGCATTATGCCTGTCGCCTTAGTTTTGACCTCCGCGCAGAAGGCCCACGTGCGTTTCCGTTAAATCTCTTTTAGAAACGATCCGTTATATATTCGATTTTTGTGATATATATATTTTAATGAGAAGAGAGAAAATAAGAACGAGAGAAAGGCGGAGAAGTTAGGATCCGGGTCGATATTTGAATAATAAAATGGACAGAATAGATAAAATACGCGTATAGAAAGTATCGTAAAGAAAAATTGACATTACAAATGGTTTTGTCAAGAAAACTGCTGCATCTTCAGCTAAGCGCTACTTTCCCCCAAATGACAGTACGTGACTTCCGCATCTACTTCCGGAAACAATTATTTTTTTTCTATACAGAAGCGAAAGAGTCTTCTTCGAACATTCGCGCAGTCACGCGAGCAAAGACACTTAAAAATTCTAAAAAGTAATATCTGCGTTCTAAAATAATAGAACAAGTCCTTTTTTTTTATTCTGACGAGATTTACGATTTTTTAGCAAGTTTAAAACAAATTATTTCTTATTGTATTTCTTTGTCACGAATTTACATTTCAAAGACTCGATAAAGCGTCGGTGAGTAAAGGCCGATTGCGTCATCGAATTGCGAATTTATTATGCGGCTGCACTTGGACTGGCGTCACGCCGCTATCTATGACGCTAGTACACATGCACATACGATGTTTACACGCGCCGTATTTAAACGCACTCGTGACCGTTGCGTGTGTAAAATATTAAGCGCGAATACGATGGCACGCGTTCCAGACCGCGAGCGCTTTAGTAGCGGCACCGCCGCTGACGTTTCCGGCTTTATCCTTTAATTAGGTTCGCCACGGTTACATGTGGAATAATTACACGCGATGCAATTTTTTTCCGCGAATCGTCAGCGACGTCGGTCGATTTTTTCAGCGCTTGTCATTCTGATTCGCTGCCAGTAGTTACGTCGAGCGATAAATTACGAACGGGTTTACTTAATTAACGAGTTCTTCGCAAAACGTGAAAAATACGCGATAATACGGTGAAGTGAACGCATAACGACGCAGTTTACTTCAGAAACGTAACAGAATTTTCACAAACGAGGTACTTTCTGTATTTACTTTGTGACATTTAATTTGTTTATTCAATTTAATTAAAGGCTTGGTATCTCTTTAGGTAAAAACAAACTTCTTCTCGAGTGCTCGCCGAGAAAAGAGTTTCATTCGATGCACTTATTCCAGTAGAGATTTTTCAAGTGTGCATTATCATCGCAGCGCGATCATCATCGAGTCTCTCTCTCTCTCCGAGACTCATTTGTCTTTGAGTCAGTTGTCTGACAAAAGTGCGCGCGCTTTCGTTCAAAGTTCCACTTTCGTTTCTGTACGCGTGTGCTTTTGCCGACGTATGTATAAAGAGAAAAGAAATAGGTAGGCCGCGCGCGCGATCGCGAGTCGTAACGAAATCGAGCCGAGTTCAGTTCAGCTGGATGATGATGCTCGCTGTCGTTGTATAATTGCGGCCTGAAAGCGGCGTCGGCAATTAGCACGATCAGGGGCGGCAAAGCGTTTCACACCGGCGATAAAAAAAAAAAAAAAAAAAAAAAAACACCAGTCTCTCTAAAGCCGGGAGTAATAATGCGCATTATGCAGCTCGCAAAGACTGTAATTCTTGTGCGAGAAAGCCCAGATTCCACGCTTCTACGTACTTATGCATCATCAGTCTGGGAATATCGGTGCGCTGGTGATGGAGAAAAAAAGCTGCGGACCCATTAACCTCGAGATAATCCAATTAAGACGCGTGAGATTGTCACGGTCAAACGGTTTCTAAGAAAATTTGTTGCTATTTTGTATTTATCTTTTTGTTATCTTTTTACTCCTCTCAATTAATTACCAGGAAGACCATCTTTTGGTACATCTATTTATTATTGTTTTTTAGATTCTTTTTCTCTGTATTGTAAACTACAAACAATTATTTCTTTAAAAAATCTGTTTTACAAAAGAAGTGATATCAAAAAGTAACACCAAATAAACTTTTGTTTGTTTTATAATTATAATATACTACAAAATATCTGCAAAATCTCTTCTACAAAAGAAGTGACATATAACTACTACACATTTATCTACAAAATCTATTCTACACAAGATGTGATATGTTGAATAATAATAATAATAAAGTAGTAACGTCAATGGAAAAAACTTATATATAATTTTAAGATATTTGTGTAAAAAATCAGAAATTTATGTAGACTTTATAGATCACGTTTATATCCAAAATATTCGGTGTTTTAAAGAACAAACGATTTGTTAGTGACTCATCAAAACTGTAATTTTCGTAATTATGTACGAAAACATTTTTTGAAACACAGAAGTGTAAAAAAAGAAAGTTTGTAATAAAAAATATTTACTGTAAAACACTTTTCACACAAGTCACGTTGTTAAAGACACGTGACTAAAGTGAAATCACGTGACGATCAGCGTCAAAATAAAAACGACAACAATCAATGTCCGAGAGAATCGATTGTGATTATTTATACACGCTTTTTCTGGTAGGATTGCGACAGATCACGCGATTGGCAGAACCAAGTAACGCGCGCATAAGAGAACGATAACACAGATGGGATAATCATTCATTCGCAAATCATTGTTTTCGATAAACGGTGACGGAATTGATCACGCAACACGGCAGAGCACACACACACAAAGTTTGACGTTCCAAGCAAGTTTCAAAGCAAAAAA